CAAGGTTCAGAAGCTGAAGGTCTGGTGGAGCAAGGCAGTAACATTGTATATAACGGCCAAGCCCCCAGATTTCAGCCCATACACTAGCTCAGGGTGCGGATCCGCCAACCCTGTGTCCTGGCCACTTCCCACCAGGTATTAGATTTAATTAAATTAGCAGATCCCCTCTGCAGCACAGCCTGGCCATACAGCCTGGACAGAGCCCAGTGAGTGCAGCTCCTGCTAAATTCTGCGTCTCAGTATAACTCAGTCTGCGATAAGCCACGGATCTCACGTGAAGTGCTTTATGCAAAGTGCGGCATGTTGGCTGGCATTGGCGCTAACGGTGGCTCTTGATTTCATTTTCCATACAACTTCCTCCGTTTTTCTCGGGTGTTATCATTTTCGCCCTCCCAATACTCTGATCTGCATTTTGTTTGATCCAGACACTTTGCTTCACACGCCGTCACCTCTGGCAATTGCATCCCACATTTATATATATCTGAGAGCGTCACAGCCCTTGTGCCACACGGCATAGGAAACGGGAAACTTATAACAGCATTTCTCACCTTCCTCGAGCTAATTTAGGAAATGTGCTCCAGATTCAGTAAATCAGGAACAAAAGTCTGGAATTGGAGATAGAATTTCAGAAGGGGGGGGGTTAAATAAATAGCAAGGAAATCTTGCAACACGTTGGATGGAAGCCTATAAATTTTATAGGTTGTTTCTTTAATAAAAACAAATTCAGTTTTTAACCACACAGTATTATTAAGCCACTAACAGTTAAAAATCTAATTTGCCCCTGCTCTGCTGCTGTTGGGAAACCCTGGTGGCATAGTGGTTAAGTGCTACGGGTACTAACCAAAAGGTCGGCAGTTCAAATCCACCAGCCACTCCTTGGAAACTCTATGGGGCAGTTCTACTCTGTCCTATAGGGTCCCTATGAGTTGGAATCGACTTGACGGCAACGGGTTTTTTGTTGTTTTTATTTTTTTTTTCTTTCTGCTGCTGCTGTTTCGGTTGCACACTGCATTCATGCGGAATAAGGAAGTCAGGTTGGTCAGCGTGGGCTTGTCCCTAAAGCAGGCTAACAGACACCCCTTTAAAACCCTGCCTTTTAGCTTTCTAGGCATGCCTTGGTCTCTAATGAGTTGCAGCCCCAGGTTGAAGATGGACACAGCGGAAAGAAATTTAACACACAGTCTGGTGCCCCCATAAACATCAAGGCAAGGGAGAGAAGGTATGTTTCCAGTTACGCTAGAACTCCGTGAATCCAGGATTCTCCACTCACAGGACAGTAATTATCCTTATTTCATCACTAACTTACTTCAAATGTGTTTATACAATTTATTGCTACTGAACTTCCAGGCAACTGGTGTAGAGTTAATGAAAGCCAGCTTGGAGAAGCTTTGAGCTTTGAACAAGTAACCACATTTTAAATGGTTCTGACATGCGGTCAAAGCCACAACCCAGCCCCACTGTAGTTTCTGTGTGAGGACCTGGTTCAAAAACCTGTCATGTCACCTTTTGTGCCAAATAGATGGAAAAAGAAAACAGAGCTGAAGAACAGCCGGCCATGTGCCTTCCCAAGGTTCCCGGCTTTTCTTCCGGCCATTTTAACACTTTTATCTTCCTATATGCAAGGTAAAGCCCCTCCTCAAATCCCCGAGTAAATATTTTAGTTGCTGTTTGGACTGGCACTGGGTTTGGAACACTGAAATCCGGTTTGGGTTTAACTGAACAAGGTCGGGCCTACATATTAGGAATGGGGGTGGGAGGAGCACGGGTGACGCACCCAGCAACATGTAAACCAACAGACTCAGTGCAAGCCTAAGGGGCAATAGAGGAACGTACAGATGAAATTGGGCTGGAAAAGAGGTGAATGCATCTTTCTGGATTACTGGGACACTGACTTTTATTAAATCCTCATTGTCACACGGCCTCACCCTCCCAGCTGCGTCCATGTGGGAACTCCAGCAAGCTCCCTCTTTCTAAACAGGCCCATTTTGGAAGAGTAAAGGGGTGGTTCGGGACGTGCCACTGCCACATAATAAAAGCCCGCTTTTAAAAGCAGCACTTTCATTAACTTAAAGCAATCTATAGACTTAAAAGCAGAGAGCAGTAAACTCCCAGAGAGGATCATAAAACAGCCAGTCGCGAGTTGGGTACACTCCAGTGCAATTTGCACGAGGCATTTGACTGGGAGCGGCGGCCGAGCCCATGTCCCTCCAGTAACCCCCTGCCCCTAAGCCTGAGCAGCTTCTTTTTCTCGCGGCTTTCTCTCCTTTCGCGCTCACAAAGGGGAGGCGGTGACAGGGGAGCCTCCTAGGGTCACGGCTCCCTCCCCCCTCGGGCTCTCGGCGGGAGAAGGGGGCGCACGAATTCCAAGCCTGCGAAACAACAGCCCTAAAGCTCCGCCGCCGCGACGATCGCGACTCCCGGGGCCGCCGCGGCCATGCGTGGGTCCCGCGTCTTCTGCGTCCCGGAAGGGCTATCTGGCTGGCCAACCGAGGGGTGTCCGGGGCAGGGAGGGTGGGTTCCAAATTGTACGGAGGGAATTTCAAACCTTCCTCCTTCCTCCCACCCTACTCTGTCTCCCCAGTTGATCAGAGGGATACCTCCTTCCCGGGTCGAGACCTCTCTCCCACTCCCGAGCTAGGCCCGAGCTAGGGGGTTGCGGCTCGAATGGGAGACAGCCAGTCCACAAACGGGAGATCCCCCTTCGCCAGAGGTCCTGGGGCCTTGGGAAGGCCAGAATGGCGCAGTGAACGGAAGGGCAAAGGGCTGGGGCTTTGGGGATACATCGTGCTGTGTGTGAACCATCGTTTTCTCCGATTGGGGTGGGGGAAGTAGCCTAAATCTGCCTAAAATGCGAGGCTCCTGACTTCCACCAGTTGGAGAGCATTTGAAATCCAAAAAGTCAGCAACACGTTGGAGGAGTCCTGAAACAAGTGGGCTGAGGGTAAGAAGCCGGAGCTCCCGCACCCCCAGGCGGAGCATCGCACCGCGGCCGTGCGTATGAGCGTCCCCGCAGGGCCGAGGGAAGCGCAGGCAGCGCCTGCCGGCGAAGAGGCGGCGGCTCCGGTCAGGGCGCCCAAGTTCGAGCCCGCCCTGCCTCGGGCAAGAAGCTGGAACTCGCTGCTAGCGCCACCCGAGCGCAGGCCGCAGCCCCAGGGGGCCACCGGCCCCCTCCCACCGCGCCGCGCCCGCAGCCCCCAAGCGGCTCCCGAAGCCCGCCGAGCTGCAGTCGGATCCTAGGATCCACTCCGAGTCCTTCCAGCTGCCCTGTCACTCGCCCACAACGTCCCTTGTATTTGCCAGCTTCCTGGAATCTTTCTCCTAAAACTGGGTCCCGCGCGCCCTAAACCCTCTCTTCCTACAGATCCACTTTCAGGGAGAAGCAGCAGGAATTCGGGGCTTGCCGGCAACGACTCGGATCAACTACTTTCGTCGTCTCCTGTAACGCCTTCCCACCCACGGAGCGTCAGAACCCGCGCGCGCGACCCTCCCCAAATTACAACTGCCTTAACCTCGATAAAGAGCCTTGATCCAGTGGCCGAATCCTAAAAACGCAACCCGTTCCTCCGATTCCAGCTTCAGATCTGAGCCCGGGTGTCCGACTCCTACCTCCAGCCCCTGCTCTGGCCGGGCTGTGGATTCGATCTCTAAATTACCCAGCGACCCTTCAATTCCGTTTCTGAAAGCAGCCCGAATCCTATATCCCAAACTCTATCCTGGCCCTAAAGTCTAGCTCTAATTCAGGGCTGATCCACAACCCGCCGTCGCCATTCCCAGCCCGGGTCTCCCCACCGCGCAGGAACCCCGGGTTCTCCTCTTAACAGCCCGCGGAAAGGGCGGCCTGCTTCCCTCATTTCTTCCTGGGGGCCGGGAGCCGAGAGAGAAAGAAATGCAAACTTTGCGCGGCGGACCCGGGACCCTGCCCCATCCCCCTCAGCTCTCTTCTCTTGGGGTGCTTTTCGCCCCTGTTTTACGAACTCATCCCCTAGTTCTCGAGCCAGGAGGGCTCCCGATTTCCAAGCCTCAGGCACGGGCCCCTCCACCTCCCCCACCTCACCAAAGCCCCCCAACAATCCGCGGAAAGCCAGTGACCCTACAGATTCTCGCTCCTCCCAGGGCGAGCGTCCCTGAGCGTGGCTCCTCAGAACCTTGCTTCTCCGCCCTACAGCTCGCTGGCCCGGGTTTCGCTGATCCGCCCGCAACCCCCTACTCGCCCCGGCTCGCCAGGCTCAGCCGGCCGCGCCCCCTAGACTCCTATCACCCGGCCCCAGCCTGGGGGCTGCTCCCGCTTGCAGCCGCTCGAAGGCAGCTCCAGGCTAGTGGCGCCGAGTAAGCGCCGACCCCAAGGACGCCCGAAGCCGAGAGGAAGCCAAGCTGGAGCGGGCGGTTCCCAGCCTCGCCCGCGGAGCGCCCAACCCGAGCCGCCTCAACCCAGGCTCGGAGCTCCGACCGCGCGCCGCCCCT